TCTTTCTCTCTCTCTGCCCCTCCTCTGCTCGTGTTCTCTCTCTCTCTCTCTCTCTCTCTCTCTCTCAAAATAAATGAATAAACTTTAAAAAAAAAAAGATCCTCAGTTGATGAGAACAGAGAATATGTCAGGGAATTCATTTCAACTTTAAATAGAAAAGTATGAGTAGTACATAATATACTGACATTAGAAGGATAAATGTAGATTTATATGTATTGACAAGGAAAAGTCTCAAGATACTTGTTCATAGGAAAAATATTGAGGATATTATGTATAGCGTAGCCTGGTCTCATGTTTACTTAACAAATATCATATATGTGAGTATAGAGGTTTACAGAAGAGTTTAGACTATGTAAATAGCAGTTTTCTGTTATTTAGGGGGATTCAAGGAAGAGAAAATTCAACTTTTATTCATTCATTATGTTAATTTTTGGAGTAAATATTAGTTCTATAACCAAAACTTTGAAAGACATGATAAAAGAGCAAATTTGTAAAGTTTAAAAATGACGATATTTATTTATTACTTTTTTAGAGTATTTTTGTTAACTTTAAATGATGAAAAGCTTATTAGTGCCCTATACGGTTACTCTTATATTATTGAGTAGTGAAGTTGTTTATAATTTTTTTATTGCTAACAAAAATTTCCTGTATTATTATTTCTGGGATAGGACACAATAATACCATAATTTAATACTATTCTTTCTCAATAAAGTAAAAGAATCCAGGAATCTCTAATCTCTACCTCTTTCTCTTCCTCCTTCCCTTCCCCAACCCCTGTTTCTCTCTCTTTCTACCCCTTTCTCTCTCCTCATTCTTTCCCACCTCCACCTCTTTATTGTTTCTCCTTCCTGTCTTCCCTTCATTCCTCCTATTCACACACATACACACAGCTAGTTTAAGAGGAAGATTGAAGGAAGAAAAGCATTTGAAACAAACAGGAGAGTAGAATTTTGGTATGCTTATTATTCCTCTATTAACAACCCACTAATATTCTTAAGTCACTGCCAAGGATCTCAGTTGTTGTAAATAATCTACCCAAGTACACTAAGCCCGAAATAGGATTATGTGAGAGAGCTTATCTAGCAGTATATAAATTAGCTCTCTAAGTCTTAAAACTTCTTCTGATTAGTGAGACGCCCGGATGGCTCAGTTGGTTAAGCGTCCGACTTCGGCTCAGATCATGATCTCACAGTTTGTGGGTTTGAGCTCCGTGTCGGGCTCTGTGCTGACAGCTCGGAGCCTGGAGCCTGCTTCGGCTTCTGTGTTTCCCTCTCTTTCTCTGCCCTTCCCTGCTCGTGCTCTGTCTCTCAAAAATAAATTTAAAAAACATTAAAAAAAAAAAACTTACTCTGATTAGTAATAGTAGATATTACTGGTAAGTTTATTTGAGTCTGAGTGAACTTCTAAGTGGACTGATAGTTTTCAGTTTTTTTAAGGGTAGCTTGTTTGAAGCCAAAAATGCTATATGCCAAATGCTCTAGCATTAGTACTTTGGATCCTATATTACTCTTTTCTCTTTTGTTCTTTTTTTTTTTTTTTCTTCCTAAACAAAGTGCATCTTTCCACTTTTAGTGTACTCGACAAATTATCTCTGAGAAGCTAGGCCGTGGATCAAGAACTGTGGACCTTGAACTTGAAGCTCAGATTGATATATTAAGAGATAACAAGAAAAAATATGAAAACATTTTAAGACTGGCTCAGACACTGTCGACCCAGCTTTTCCAGATGGTGCATACCCAAAGGCAACTTGGAGATGCATTTGCTGACCTGAGTTTGAAGTCCCTAGAACTCCATGTAAGATTATTTTAAATAACTATTGGAGAGTGTGGAGGAGGAGAACGGCAATAGTATTCCAAGATATAATTTGCTATGTTTCTGATTTGCTTAACTCTTAATAAAACTGGAATATTGAGGTGTTCTTTCAAGATATTTTATATGATTTTTAATAAGGCCCAAGTGACCGGAGATGTCAGCTGGAGGTTTCAGGGGAAGGGAACTTGGTTAGAGCAAAGGAAAAGGAAAGTACTCAACCTGCTTGAATCTAGAAAGAATCATAGCTCTGTGTATGTGAGCATGGATAAAAAGTAAATTCAGGTACCTATTGAAAATCTCTTACCAGTTGTCCAAGTATCTTGAACAAATAGTAACGTGCTTGACTGGATTCATAATATACTTTTGCTGACTCATTAATAGGAATTGTGAATTTTAGAAATTAAGAATTTTAGAATAATTATGAAATCATTTTTCTGTATATATCCCTATAAGCATTCAGCAAAGAATTCCTAAGAATTTCTTAAGATATATGAAGTGTTTTCTTTGATGTCTTTTTTTTTTTTTTTTCCTCACCTGGAGCCAAAAGGTGCAAAATCCCTTTCCTACAGACATCTAACTTGAAGAGTTAGATAATTTAGAGCATTAAGGTATTTGATAATATCTACAGTCTTGGAAAAGAAAGTTTGGCTAGACATGGCAATATGTATCATAATAGCGAAGAATACTGAGATTCAATTCTGAGTCATTAGATAGACAAAAAGAGCTAATCTAATATTTGGGAAGCTAATTAATCATAACAGCTGCGATTATTGGGTGTCCACAATTTCACTGTAATGATCTGGGTGCTTTATAGCCATTATATCATATAATTTATGTAGCAAGACTGCAAGAAATGTTATCCCCATTTTATAGATGAGGAAACTGAAGCCAAGAGAGGTTAGGTAATTTTTATAAGATCACAAAACAAATAAGAGGTAGAGCTGAAAATTGTATTTTATATATAGAATTTATTTGTATTTTATACATACGGACACACACGTATTTATTTTGTTTTGTTTAGTAGCCAAGGTCATGTACAGACAGTGAGGCCAG